TCTGCAGATGGGACTATTTTTGGGAGAGACCAGGGCTCGGATGCATTTTTTTTTTTTTGTTTCCATCTGCCTGTTTAGGTTGGATAAGCATATTTTGCAGACGACAAGGAAATAAAATGGGTTTGTTTTGCAGATTTCCATCTCTGACCAACTGAAATTGAGCTGTGATTTTGGAAAGGAATAGTTGGGAGCACAGGGAGTCAAAATGGGGGATCACCCAGGGGAGAAGAGTGCCATGGTTTCTCCGTTGCCTTTATAACAGGAAATTTGCCCATGGTTCTATCAACTCAGTGTCTATAATTCAATAAAGGGTGCTGTGTGTGTGTGTGTGTGTGTGTGCAATAATGGTAGCGTGGTAATGGACCTCTCTGTGGACGTGTGTAAAGGCGTGAGCTGCGTTCGGCTGTGTGTAAGGGGATGTGAGGCTGGGAAAACTCCACCTCGGACTACCAGTTCGCCTTTGGAAAACCCATGAATAACCTGGTTGCAAAACGGAGTCTCTTTGGATTCGACTCAATTTTCCGACTTTGCCTGCTGTTAGACACAGAGACTGACAAACACAAAGCTCCTCACCCGCTGTGCCGGGGCCTCACCCACATTAATAATATTTCACAGTAGTACCTCAAGTTGGGCGGGAGTTCTCCGGGGGGCTCAGGCCAGAGTAGTGTGGCTGAGTCCACAAAGAAGAGCCAGACCCCTACGGTGGTCCTCCTTCAGGTGACAGTCTGTGTGGCAGGCTCACCTGTAGAAGTCAGTTCAGAGTAGCTTTATCCACCTTGGGGAGGGGAGGGGGCTAACGTCCTGGTCCCTAACTTTGCCTCTTTTCCTCTTGCTGCAGGAAAGAGCAAAGTGGGGAGACCCCAGCACCAGGCTCCCAGGGCCTGGCACATACAAGCCCTGAGCAAATATAGTGGGTTTCCAGTCCTGGCAACCGGCGCTTGGTTTCAGCTTAGCCCACACCGCAGGACCAGCCCCCCAAACTCACTGACCGAGGGCTGCCGCAGATGGTGAACTTGTCGGTGACAAGATAGCCTGTAAGTGTCAGACAGAGCTCTTCTGTGCAGAAGATATTTCGACCCACCTTTTCCTGAAACCCATCTGTGAAATAGGAGATTCTAGCGTTGACTAAACACACTCGGAAACTTGCCCATGTGCTCACGGAGAAGGACGTACACACAGGGCAGCTTTTAGTCCTTCCTGGTGTTTTTCTTAGGATGTTCCTCAGCCCAAGGCATATTTCTGGATAGTCGGCAAAAAGGAGAGATACTTGTTCTGAAAGAAATAGGTAATCTTGGGGCGCCTGGGTGGCTCCATCGGTTAAGCGTCCGACTTCGGCTCAGGTCATGATCTCACAGTCTGTGAGTTCAAGCCCTGCGTCGGGCTCTGAGCCTGCTTCCGATTCTGTGTCTCCCTCTTTCTCTGCCCCCCCCCCCACTCACGCTCTGTCTCTCTCCCTCTCTCAAAAATAAATAAACGTTAAAAAATAATTAAAAAAAAAAAAGAAATAGGAAATCTCTTTGACCAGTGGGGAGAGAGGTTGAGCTCTTGGAGGATACGGAGCTGGGCTCACGGGAGGAGGGTGACAAGGGGGCCTTGGGTCTGTTTAGAAGGTACAGAGAAGCCAAACAGGAATGGGGCTGGAGCCCGGCCCCTGCCCCATGCCAGAACTCCAAATGCTATTTATTTACTCTCCTCCAAGACTTGGCCGGTTTCAGTGGAGCAGTTAATATTTAACACGCTTTTGCCTGAGTGGCCCTGACTATAGGCTGCGCATATGTCCTTCACCCATTTCCTCCTCTTCTCAGATCCCCCAAAGAGGTCAAGGGTCAAAAGATACCAAACTCTCACCCTGAGCGTTTTGCTTGTTTCTCAGGCTTCTTATCAGGTCGAAATACCTCAAGTTTCGATGGCTGCCCTGAAAGAGCCCCCACGTTTCAAGGTTGTAAAGTTGGTGGATAGAAATGCAGCATCCAGGTCAGGCCAGAGCGCTGAGAGAGGGAGTGGAAGGGGGAGAAGAAGAGAAGACTCTTACAGTCCATATTCTTTGGATCAGAAAACTAGGTGCGGAGCCGGGATGCAGGCACTCATCCGACTTTGCTTTCAGGCTCAGATTCACCTCTGCGGTGATGACGCAGTGCCCGATGCCACGATCTCCAGGGGCATTTGGTGGCGTGTGTTTACTCTGGAAACATCTGTTGTTGGGGCAGAAAGCTTGCCTGGAAGCACAAAGCTGAACCAGATAATTTAGAGGGTTTCAGGTGTGAAGTAAAATCAGAAAGGTGATCTTAGGGCTTTTAGTGTTTAGTCAGGGGAAGCCAATGGCCCTTCTTCAGGTACAACGTGGCCCTCTTGGCATCTCCGAGATGCCTTCTGGAGGGACCGGGATCCACAGGCTGCCCTGTATATGCAGTTGTAGGTCATTCGCTACTTCCCTTAGGAGGCACCAGTAGAAAGAGACCCAGATTTGTCATCTGTCAAAGAAGAAAATACCGCATGTTGCCTAAGTTATCGGGCTATTTGGAAGATCTAATAGGCATATCTGAAAGTGTAAGCTAGACCGTGTTTTTGTTTTGTTTTGTTTTTGAAGCAGTGCCATTCATATTGTTTCTCTCCCTCCCAGCTACTGTAGGCTATCCTTAGTTCCAAAATGAAAGTGTGATGGGTTGCCCTGGAAGGAGAGGCTAGCAATCCATCATAAAGTCTGAAGAGTACTTGGAAGAACAGGGTGGTAATTGTCTTTGAAAGGCAGAGGCATCATCTGGTCACCCGTTCACAGAGAACATCATATTAACTACAGTGATCAATACAGTACTAATATTTATTGCTCCAATGTTGATAAAACTGGAGCCCAAACCTAGACCCTTGGATTTACACCGACTGCTTGGAAGCAATGCCTTTGTCTTATAAAGTGTTGCTTGCCCCATCCCTGTTAGGTGCTCATGAATGTTAGTTTAGCTGAAGGCATTGCCCAAATTCCACTGAGTCGTATATTCTCAGGGAAATAAACTACTTAAGAAAGAGTCTGTAATAATAGAGCAAAAACAACAACAAAAAAAGTGGTCTTCCAACAGCTTAACTCAACAGATGCTAGAACAGATGGCAAGTTTATTCATCCAGCATTTTTCGAGTGCCTTCTGTGTGCCTAAGCTTATGAGAAATGGATCTCTTTTGCTATAATGGCCTCAGCCCTACAGAATGTTAGGGATGAGTTAGCATCCTCTGAATCTAAGCCGTCATGAATGGAATGGATAGCTGAGGAGACTGAACTTCATCCACGTGACTCCTCATGTTTCTGTCTTTGGGGTTCTGGGTATTGGGAAAGAAACGTCACGAAGAAGACTGAAGAGCTATCTTACCCAATGCTGGTTTATCACTGGGCTCCTTTGGTGTGTCTGTCCCCTGTGGTCCTGACCCTATCTCCTGAGAGGCTCTGGACCCTTATGAACTCCATGTGTCTGGCTCATTGGGATTTTTTCCTCTTCTTTCCCCGTTGTCCTGCCCCTCCCTACCTGCCCCATTTGCAGACCTTCCCCCCAAATCGGCCTTGTGCTGGTCAGCTCTACAACATTGGTGGCTGACTCACCCAGCACAGCCCAAACCTGACTTGGCAGTGGAAGAAGTTATGGGTAGAGGCCAAAGAGACAACCTCCCTGGAATCCAAACCCCGGGTCCCAAGATCTCTAATTGAACACATTTTTTTCTATGACATTTTACTTAGTAAAGGGGGAGAGGGGTGGGGAGTAGGAAAGGTGATAGAAAATATAAAATGGTGTCACAGGAAAAAATATAGATTCTAATCCTAGCTCTCTCCAAACTCCCTATCTGACCTTGGAACTGGCTTTTAAACTTAATTTTTCCAGAATTTTATTTCAACATAGGAGAGCCCCATCTGGCCTTTCCAGACTTTGTGGTTTTCAGAAGGAAAATGGTACCGCCTTCCTTTGCTCTTACTATTGGCAGAGTGAATTTGAAACTCTTTTTCCCTATGAGTTGGAGTTGGGAGGAAGCTACGCAGGCCATTTCTCTCGTTTATTTGACAAAGATTAGGGAAACTTGCTGAAAATAAGTGCAGCCTCAGAGTGGGTGGTACACAAGAGGGAAACTGGGTTTGTATCAACCTGTGTGAATTACGTAGGAGGCTCCCAGACCACGGAGATGATGGTGGCCCTGGTGGCGGGAGCTGTTGATGATATTGGCTACGAGAGCAGCTAACAGTTACTGCACAGTGTTTTACGTGAAGTATCTCAGTATATGTCCGTGACAACCCTATGCGGTTGGTGTCGTTGAGGGCCCTATTCCTTCTCCCCCACGTAACCCAAACCCTTCTTTTCTAAACTCTTGTTCCCTTACGTCAGTTTACTTTGATCCTCGAAGGACCTTGTCTTTTTCTTATGACAAGAACAGTAGCAGTTAGTCCTTTATTCATCGAGCATTTACTTCCAACTAAGCTGTGCAAACTGTTCTCATGTAATCCTTGCGTTAACCCTACCTAATGAGAAAAACCGAGTCAAAGAGTAATTTGTCTCAAGTCACATAACTGTAAATGCAAGCGGGATTTGAATCCAGATCTGACTTCCTCCAGAACCCACGTTATGAACCCCTTCCTATTTATTGCTTGTGGTCCTGGAAATGTAGCCTACGCTCCCCGACGCAGAGAAAAAAAGCACCTAAGACAAGTGTGGAGTTCCCTCTCTGGCTAGACTGCTTCTGCACCTGCTGAGCCCGTCCTCCTGCATGTGTGTGAGCCCGCTTCTGCGTCCTTCCACGCAGGCGGGGAGGTGTGGGGAACCGCCGTGCACGGCCCCTTCCAGCTCTCTGCTTGCTTGGTGTCCCTGCCGCCGCGCCCCGGGGGCTTGGGCAGAGCCTGGCCCGGAGAGCCTCCGCTCGGCTCACACGTGGCTTTGATTCTTGTCTTTTCAGGCCGGCTTGGGACATTCTTCACTTCCCTTCACTTCCCCTCTGGGAGCCCCTCTCACCGCCCCTGCACCTTGCTTCAGGCGATGCCCAGGAGCGAGCTGTGGCCAGCGGGGCCTGGCTCGGAACCCGTGACCCGCATCGGCAGCTGCGACAGCATCATGAGCACCGTGTCCACCCGCTCTGGATCTGTACGTACTCTCCGCCCTGCAGCCCGCCGCCCCTGCTTCTGTCTGCACCCCCGCCCCGCCCTGCCCACCGCCCGCCTGGCTGCTCCTTCGCTTTCATCTTCCTTGTCAGAGAGTGAATCACACCGGTTGGTATTTCTGCCTTTGAGTCACCCAGGTTCTCGAGAGAAAGGGTGGGACAGTCCCAAAGCGCAATGAGATGAGACTTGCTCCCAGCTTTCATTCACGGGGTGGGGGTGGGGGGGGGGGGGGGGGGGGGGGGGGGGAGGGGGGCTAAGTTGAGGTGAGAGCAAGGGCCAGTGATCTGAGGTCCTGGTGGAAAGCAGAGGGTAGATCACCATAGCACTCACATTCCTGAAGCCTCCCTGCAGCCAGCAGGGTGCCTTCAATCTTTTACCAAGATCACAGAGGACAGAGTAATTAGGAGCCTGGGTTCTGGAGCCAAGCCGGTCTGAGTTCTCGATCTATAAGCTCTATGGCCTTGGGCAAATTATTGAATTTCTGTAACCTTCAGTCTCCTCCGTTTTAAGGTGGGATATAAGGTAAACACCGAATCCTCGGGGAGGGGGGTGGCGGTTAACGAGATGCATGTGAAACACAAAACACTCAGCACACGCCTCTAAGTAGAAAAGAAATAGCCTTATCCAGGAGCATCGATTCAGAATCGCCCAAAGTCATCGTGTTTAACTGTTTGTGAGTGGCAGGTAACAAATTGTAATTTTTCTGGGGATGAATTCAAGTCAAGGTTGTTGTAAGGCTGGTGCAAAAGAGTAAATCTGCCCTACGTCCAAATGGAAACATTCCTTTGCTGTTGGTGTCGTTGCATACCTAATAACCCTTGAGAATGTATACTTTATTGCTCTATATCCTACAGAGGTACTTGAAAATTTAAGGATGCTGAGGATCTCTACCAAATGTCAAGGACTTTTAATACAGCCAGTGAGTTTTGATATGTGAAAATGGAGTAGAGAAAGCAGCGCGCGCACACACACACACACACACACACACACACACACACACACGTACACACACAATCCAAAGCGTGGGCAGTCCGTATATAATTTCTTGTTGACCTGAGATGGTGGGACCACAGAGACATCTTTCTGTTTCTGTTAGGCTGAGGCCAATACGAGCAGTTACATAACACTGGACACAGAGTGTGGCAGGGATTAAAGATCTGCAAGGTGAATCCTCCACAAAGGAGAAATTCAGAGTTGGTTTATCTTTGGCAAAGCTATTTTGGGAAGAAGAGGGCCGTAAAGAAGATTTTGTTCAGGGAACCCCTGGAATCGGCTTCAGGGCTTCCACGGGCTACATTTGTAGCTTCCTTTGACAGGTCGGCCTGCCAGATGGCCCTTTAAGGAGTCAGGGGAACTGGTGGGGTTATTCCAACAACCATCTCCTAGGGTATTTTTAGGGCTGTCTCAAATCTTTCCTGGCCATCTGAGTGGGTCTGGAGAATATATAACTCTGAAGTATCTTAAATATTAGGAAGAGGGATGAGATAGATGCCAGGAGGGAACTCAGGCCAAATTTCTTACATTTCCATTTGCCCTTTTGGTTTTCCCTTCAACCTTCAACTTTAGAGAGCAACTATCCTATGGATCTTCCTGGCCTTGCTGACCGTGGGCAGCAACCATTTAAAAGGGCCGTAACACTTTTCCCCAAATACCCCTGTGTGCTTTTTCATCATGACGGTTATTTACTTTAATATCTACTTGATATTTCACACTAAGTTCCTTTCCCCTCCTCCCATACCCGTCCGGTTTCTCCACCCTACCCGCCTCTAGTTAATATTTGCTTAAGAAATGCACACTTATTTGAATGTTAGCCAGAGCCAAATGCCATCAAGAAAGTAAATACACAAAGGAAAAAAAAAATCCTGTATGGAATGCATTTCAAAGTCAAGTGTAAATTATTTGGTAAATTTATCTGTGGCTACTCATACCACTGTTGCCATTGGCCTGATAGCCAGTGGCTGGCTGCGTTTCTTGTTTGTCCTTATACTGTCCTTGACATACCAGATCGAGTGTGCAAAAGTACTCTGACAAGTTAATACCATTGAAGTTTAAGGTCAAGTCATTATGTTACCCATGTAATTCGGAGCTAAATCGGAGACACGTAGAGGGATATGCTTATGCCAGTCACACACAGGAAGTGGAATCAGAACCCGGGACTGCTTCTGATCTGTTCCCCTAAGCATCCCACCCAGGACTGGGTGGAAAAGGCAGCTGCCATCTGCCTGCCCAGCACTGGGTGCTGGTGGGCCCACAGCCGCCAGTCTCCTCGCCGTCCGGTGCCCGCGGTTTCTCAGGAGACAGACAACTCCCGCAAACTTGCGGAGTCGCCTCCTGGAAAGGTTTCCAGCCCTTCAGCATTCCTTCCGGACACGGGGTGGTTCTCAGCCCCACCAGTTTCTGTGGAGCTCCCTCTCACAGCTCCCTCTCTCCCTCTCTCTCTGTCCTCCACGCCTCATTCCAGAGTGACGGCAGCTACGACTTCCTGTCCGCAGAAGAGAAGGAGTGTCTGCTCTTCCTGGAGGAGACCATCGGCTCACTGGACACTGAGGCTGACAGCGGACTGTCCACTGACGAGTCTGAACAGGACACAGCTCCCCGCGGCCCCCGAGCCCTGCCCGTCACCCAGCCTGCTCCTCAGGGTAAGAGAGACCATCTGGGGTGGCACCGCTAACAAACCCAGAAAGCCAGGACATTCTTGTGGCTGCTTTGCACCCTGTTTGCCCTCTCCTCTGAAGGTCATTGGCAGAAGGAACGATAGCACTCCTCTCCACGCCCCTGGCTAGAAATAAGCCATGTCCCGCAGAAGAGAGACTGAGGACAAGCCGGCGTCCTCTGTCTTTCTCTGAAGTCTCAGAGGCCTGGGAGGGAAAAGGGTTTGACTAGCTCTCATTCTCTCGCAGAAATGCTGAAGAGACATGACCGCAGAGGTTCATGGGAGGGGTTCAGGGAAGGGTGGATGGTTGCTCTGGGGACACGAAGTGAGTCTGGAGAGCTAATCTGGATGCTCCAGGAGGATGAGGCTGCAAGAGATAAGGGGGAAGGGCCCCCTGAACTTCAGTGGGTGGCACCTTGAGGCTCTTGTGAGAGGGGGTGGAAAGCCAGTGGTGTTGAGGCTCAGTAGAAGGGGGACAGGATGGCACATGAGTGTGGCCATGAGGTTGGGGCCATATGTCCCAGAGTGAGGGGGGCACTTTACTCCCGAAGACAGCCCCACTGCTATCAGGATTGCAATCATTGATTTATTCGTTTAGCAAATATTTACTGACAGTGTGTTAGAACCTCCATGGAGATAGAGGCGTAACTGGGGACAAAGGCTTTACTGCTCCCTGAGACTGATTCCCTGGTCCGTGGGCCTAATGCACCTGCTGGAAGGAAAGAGCCCATGTCGCTCACTCTTGTGGGGACGGCTGTGGCCATTCCAGAGCCATTCACGTGTTTATAGAAAGTGAAGGTGGAGGAAGGCAGAAGTCTGGTCGAATCAAGAGCAAATCCGCTGTTCATGCTATTCTCTGCTGCTGGACTCAGTTGCTTGGGAGCCCCGAGATAGCTAGAGGGAATCTCTCCCCCACCCTGGTGCTTCTGTAGAAGCTTAGAAGGAGCCCGAGTCAAGGACCTGGAGTTACGTGAGGCTGCTCTTTCCCCAACCGTCGTGAAAAAGTAATCCTAGGTTGAAGGGAACCTGCTCAGATCGATCTGTCAGTGTGAATGATAGCCATGCAACAGGGCGGCTCCTTGAAGAGCAAAGAATCAACCCAAAACAATACCCACCGCTAAGTGGAGACCAGAGTTCGGGAGGTATTAGCTTTGCCCCGGGGCAGCAGGGTTCTCACCTCTGTCCACTCTTCTTTGCCCGTTCTCCTGGGCCCTCACAGGATATCCAGGGGAGAAGATCGTCCCACAAGGACCGGAGCCAAGGACAGGGACTCAGTCCAGCTCACCCCATCTGCCTGAACCCGAAGGCCTGGGCCTCAGGTCTGGCTCCCATAGCCTCCCCAGAAATATCCACATCGGCAGGAAGCGGAACCCCGGGGAAAGCACCACTCAGACGAATAGCCACATCCCGGGGGAACCTGAGGGGCTTGTCCCAGAGCCCAAGAGAGAGCAGGCCGGCCAAAACGGTGAGCCCAGCCAGGCTCCGGCCGGCCCCCCGACGCCTGCCCTTGGGTTGGACACAGTACCCATCCCCCCACCAGAGGCCTTTCAGGACAGCCAGCCAGAGCAGCGTGGGGAAGGCGGCCTGGGCGTCCCCAGGCCAGGGCTGCAGAGCCATACGCCCCGGCTCCATTCGTCACTCAGCCCCCAGGAGAGGAAGGAGACTCCTTCAGCGGCCATGTCCCAAAAAGCCAGTGAGAAGGGCTCAACAGGGGGGCCGGGGCAGCCTCAGCCTCCTCCCGCCGCGTCATCGCAGAGCGCGAGAGCCAGAGATGCTCCCATCCCGTCAGGGGGGGACCCCAGTGCCCGGCCAGCGCCCTTCACAGCTCCCAAGCCCCGGAAGCTGCCACCCAATATCGTTCTCAAGAGCAGCCGAAGCAGTTTGCACAGCGAGCCCCACCACTGGTTGTCTCGCCACTCCGAGGCCACCGCGGGAGACTCCGGCCTGGCCTCCTCCTCGCTGCAGGAGCAGAAGAAAGCGCGCCGGGAGGCCCTGGAGAAGCTGGGGCTCCCCCAGGACCAGGATGAACCTGGCCCCCACTTAAGTAAATGCACCAGCTCCACCCGATTCAAGGAGACCCATGCCCAGGCCTCCTTCCAGGCTCCGACTCCAGCCCCGGCCCCGGCTCAGCCGACGCGGCCTGCTCAGGGCACAGCCGCTGCGCCTGCCGGAGGGAAGGCTCCGGCTCCCGCTCCCACTCGGGGACCTTCTCCAGCGAAGCCTCCGGCTCCGACTCCAGCTCAGGGTTCTTCTCCGGACAAGGGGTTGATTCCTGCCCAGGAGCCCACTGCAGGCAAGGTTCCAGCTGCCAAATCCATGCCGATTCCTATCCCCAAAGCCCCCGGGGCAGGTGGTCCTCTGGCTCAGGCAAAGGCAGACTCGGGGCTGACTCTCCGGGAGAGCAACGTTCCTGGCCTGAGACAGATGAGCTTCAAGTCCAACACTCTGGAGCGTTCGGGTGTGGGGCTGAGCAGCTACCTCTCGGCCGAGAAAGACCCCAGTCCCCAAACCAGCACCTCTCTGGGTAAGGGCTCCTTCTTGGACAAGATGTCTCCCAGCGTCTTGCGTAACTCAAGGCCCCGGCCTGCCTCCCTGGGCACAGGGAAGGACTTCGCCGGGATCCAGGTGGGCAAATTGGCTGACCTGGAGCAGGAGCAGAGCACCAAGCGCCTGTCCTTCCAAGGACAGAGCCGCGACAAGCTGCCTCGACCCCCCTGTGTCAGTGTCAAGATCTCCCCAAAAGGAGTCCCGGATGAGCACCGAAGGGAGGCTCTGAGGAAGCTGGGACTGTTGAAGGAGTAGTCACTGGCCACCAGCATGGCCCCGCCATCCCCGTCTCACCCTCTGCCTTACAGGAGGCTCAGGTCCTCTCCCACCCAACAGCCCGGGGCTCGGACAAAGTGGGCTTCTCTCCAGCGCGCACCTCTCTCTGAGGCGAAGGGGTGGAAGAGACTGGATTCCAGTGGACGCGCGTGTTTATATTCAGAGCGGTTGTGTCACTGAGTACCTGCCCAAATCATCCTGAAGATGATTTCTACAAGACGGGGTGTGTGTGTGTGTGTGTGTGTGTGTGTCCATGTACTATAGGCTGTATATATCATTGAAGCTATTTATATGACACAAGGAGTCATTGCTCAGAGTTCTGCTTGTGTTAGAGATTTTCTTCCACTGGGTAGGGTTCAGCCCAGCCAGAACTAAGGGGAGAAGGGGGGGGGTGCTGAGTCTGAGGAATAAAAGGTCAGCTGAGACAATGGATGTGCTGGGGACATTAGGCAAATGCAGTGTCATGTGAAATGTGGGTCTCCCAGAATCCCTGCATGGAAGGGGACTGGCTCGTCCCTTGGTTCTGGACTTCTGGACACCCCGGTCCCAAGGTTAGGGCACGTCCCTGTAGCTAAATCTGTCCATTGACTGAGAACAGAAGTGCTCTGGTTGGCCTGTGAAGGCAAGATGGGTGACCGCACAGCACACAGCCACTGGGATGGACCCCTGTCCACGGGCTTGATGCATTTATAATAATAAACCGTGCGGTGGCCCCTGCCGGGGACATTCCTATTCTTCAGCTCCCACTCTCAGCCTGCATGTGACTGACCCCAGGGCCGGGCCAACAGTGAGGTGGGGGTCTGAGCCCAGAGACTTTATAAATACCAAAGAACTGTTTGAGGCCTTACCTATGCTACTGCGCATAGATTTTTTTCAGTTTCTATGGGAAGGCAACACCAAACATTCTCTGCTAGTTACTCACAGAATATCAGAGCTGGGAGGAATCTTAGAGACAAGACTCTTGTGACCCACGCTGTTGGGGAAGGGAAGGGAGTCATCTGCGGTCACTCTGCCATTCAGTGACAGAGCCGGGACCCTGGCTCCTCATTCCATGCTGCACGCTGCCTCCCTGAAGCAGTGCTTCTGTACGTCTACACAGCACCCTGTGTATCAGGAGTCACCATCAAAGGCTCAACCCCAAAGCCTAGAGAGATTAAATGTTGTTCAAGACCATATTGAGTGTTGTTTTTTCTACTGTGTCTTCGGAAAGTAGCAATATAGTAACTCATTTATTAATCCAAATTCCCTGACCGCTTTGTACAGCTTGAGAAAATGCCAAAAGGAGGTACTATGAGTAGGCGTCGTAGGCTTGTGGATACAGGCTTGGAAATTAGACACAGCTAGACATGACCCCTGCTTCCCCTAAGGAAATAAATATTATTCGTGGCTGTGGTTGGAGTCTAGGATCCCCAGATGGGAGGAGCAGATAAAGGGAACTGTTGTTGGAAAGGTGCCCTTGAGGTCTGCTGAGAATTTCTGGACTGTGTCCTTAGGGACCCAGCACTGTCAAAGCATGGTATTTCTAAAAATGATGAAAAGATTAAGGTGAGGACAACAAATGGCTCCACCCTGTCATGGTATGTGGGACGTGGGTGTGACAGTTTCTGTATATACTCTCATGCACACACCCAAAACCTTGGTGCCTTCCTGGCCCTGGTAAAGACCTGGTCTGTTGGAGCTGATAGGGACTCCCACAACTGGCCAAGCCAAACGTTATTACAGACTCTTCTGAAGAGAGAGGGCCCTTCCTGGAGGACTGGTTTGACATGCTATATTTGGTTGAGCTGCCTCATACGTGTATTTCAAGACAACCTGGGAATGACCACTTAATTTTTTTCAATTTTCCTAATGAATAGAGACACTTGGTGCTACCTATAAAGTAAGACTTGGTAGGAAACCGAGGCCTTTGTATCAACACAAGGATCATCAACACAGGTGGGCCAGGAGTACCTCCTCTTACATCCTCACCCCTGGTAGAGGCGACGTCTCTCGAACAAAACATGGTTACACACAGCTTGCCTTCCCTCCCTGAACCCTTATCTAGTGACGTGCCCATTTTCCCCGCAACTCCCTCCTGGCTTCCCCGTGTCCTCGCCCTTCCAAGGGCACGTCTTGCTCTTAGGACGGTCTTTGGGGTCCAAGTACTAGGATGAAAAACCCAAACCCATCTGTCCTCATTTTGAAGAGGGGCAAAGGAACGCATCTGGGGACATCTGCCATCCTGAAGTTGGCCCTAGAGCCACCTGAGGAATTTTATCTACCCTCTGACGTCCATATAGGATTGGTCTTCATCGAGCTTGAGCTGGAGGTAAGAGTGGGGTCACTGCTGTTGTTTTCCCTCTATCCCTTTTTGAAAGATGTCGGATGGGCGTTTGTAAAGGCCACTCATTTGATTTTAGAAACCCATGTGACAGTTCTCCTTCCGCTTGGCCTCGTAACTCTGTCGTACCCTGCCGCGATCTTACTGCTACTAGGAATGAGCTATCTGCCAAATACAGGAGCTGGCTTTGCCTCCGCCTGGCACAGTGGGACAGGTGCCTTAAGTGTGTCGACAGCTGCTCCTCTGAATCACCACTCACGTGCGTCCCTGGGCGCCCTGTACTCCGACCCGATGTGGAAGGGCTGTGTGCTACCCGGGATGGGCCCACTCGCCTCGTAGGTGCTTCCCTCCATAGTGGGAAGTATGGCCTGGAAGAGGCCACCCCGCACCCTGACGTTGCACAGGTGTGCAAAAGTGGGTGTTAATTCCACGGAAGAAAGAGCAGATGAATGAGTGGCGAACAGGCCCTACTTGGTGTTACGAGTTAAAGCTGGAGGTGGGATTTAAGAGTCTGCAATATGTGTGTGCGAGGTAAAGCACTCCATTCCTTGATCCACGATCATATGTGTAGGGAGAGGAGGATCGTCCTGTCAGAGCATGAAGCTCATAGACTAGAGGAGGTGGCGACCAGGGGACAGGCAGGAGAAATCATGTCTCAGAATCTGAGGAGGAATGGAGCCACAATGCGCCCATGCTCTTTTCTTCATGTGACGGACTATAGAGCGTATATAGGTCAGGCTCAATTGGACAGCCATCGCTTACCAATCAGGGAACCCTGAGCTGTTCCTATCTGTAAAGTGGGGATAATAATACCATCCTTTCAACATTGCTGAGATGAACAGGTGATATGAAATATGTAAAACTCAGTGCTTAACATAGTGTAGCTACTCGACAAATGATAGTATGGTCTTCGGCATCTTATTTCTTCCTTCTCAAAGGGAGCAAATGGAGGCAGGGATGGAAGCCAAGAGCTCGCCCGACTCAGCTCCGAGAGGAAGCGGGAGCGATCTTGCTGCAAGTGAAAGTCCAAAGTACCGACTAGGCTTTGGCACACCCTCCAGGTGATTCAACTTCACCCACGCCAGGTTTCCTGGAAGCAGAAAAGAAAGGGATCGGCATGAATATGGTGTTTGTGTCTCAGGGAAGCCAGCTTCTCTATCTCCAAACCCAGTTTCCAATTTGTCACCAATGTCTTGTCGCCCATGGTCATATAGTTGACTTCTTTTTGCTCCCTCCAACTTCCTTTTGCTGTGTGGTTCAGTGACCTATATGCCGTTCTATAGTTATTCATTTTTAAAATGGAGAAAAAGAATAAACCTATATAACAGAGGGGAATGATGGCTCAAATCTATTTGAGGTGGCTCAAATAGAGACTAGAAAATGTCTCAAGCATTTTCTAAATAAGGTAGGCATCTTTCAGAAATGAATCAGGCGTAAGTTGGCAGGAAACAAGAAGGTATATTGGATGACTCCTCAAATCCCTTCTAATATAAGGGCCCAGTGAATTGCAGGAGTCATTGCCATCGTCATCCTCATCACCACCACCATCATCACCATTGTCATCAGTGACCCTTGGCAGACAAGGGAGGTAAAAACAGGTGATGTTCTAGTTCCATTCCCTCTTGCTCATTGCCTATCTGGATCATTGTCCTTATTCAGCACTTGCCACGTATCCAGGGTTCAAAATAATTCAAAGCAGAATGGTATCCTGGCAAAGCCAGATGAGCTATAGTGAGTCACTGCATCTCACTCATAAAATGGGGAACTTGGACGGAACTATCTCTTAGATCCATGCCAGCTCTGAAACATATGTTAAAATGAGTCCAAGCAACTTAATTAGGAAGATAAACACCATGCCAAAAATAATCACAATATGGTCTAAGATAAAATATACCTCATAGAACCTAAGACCTGGAAGGAACGTTTTAGATTATCTAATCCAACCTCCCACTCAAAAAGGAATTATGTCTGTAAGTTGATATATAGTCAGAAAGATGGATGGATGGATGGGTGGATGGATGGATAGATGGATGGACAGACGGGTGAGGGACAGATGGATGGATGGATGCGTGGATGGAAGAATAGGTGGATGGGTAGATGGGAGAAGGGAGGGGAGAGAAACATATCGTGGACAAGAGTGCAAGCTTATGAGTCAGGCTGCCAAGCACCCTGCACCTGTTTCCTTTTCGGTTTATTTTTGATTCCTTTAACTTCCTTTGTTGTGTGGTTCAGGGAACCAGGGAATGCTGGTTCAGGGAACGCGATCCTACAGTTACTTAGTTTGAACATGAAGTGTAAAAAAAAAAAAAAAATTATATAATAAGAATGAACCTTGTAGAAGCAGTAATAATCCTTACCTTTTACAATAATTTTGAGAAATGATGCTCATTGAAAATAGAATCAAATGAGACAATACATATGAAACACACTTACCACATTGCTCAAAAAATGGAATCTATTAATATTATTATCATATACATATGTAATTCAGACGCCAGTGGGTGCCCTTGAGGATTGGACTGATATCAGCCTACACTTAAATTCCTCAGCCCAGAACAGTCAAAAGCCCTCCTCCAGTTTCCAGAACCTCCTGCAGACAACCTGCTCATGTACCATCCTGTGTGCTCTCCATCTGGGGGTGTGGCTCCGGGGCCTCCCG